GTCGAAAGCGAACCTACAGTGGATATTCTTTCTTCCGAACACGGGGCTACGACGGATTCCTCCTCTTCGTACGTCTCGAGGCGAATTCTACCCGTTTATCCCCTTTTCTCTTTTATCCTTCTCAGGTCGAAACAGAGTGCATGGCATATATCAGCAGCACGCATATTGAAGCGATTAAGGAAAGCTCTCACTAGAGCAGCTCTCGAAATTTCAGTCTGCCGTCAACAGATGTTTCAAGCTACACCATTGGATGTAGAATTCCGAAGGGCTTCACAACGTGCACTGATAAGGCAACGTGTTTCACGCTCCATTCGTAAAGTCTTTGGATATTTGCATTGGGTAAGTGATTTCTCGAGTTTCTGAGTTTTTTTTATAGCGTACCGATGTCTGTGTGGAGCTCCATGAGACCTTGCTGAATACTCTTCCTCGCAGCCTTCTTTCAGTTTATTTGGAGGGCTTTGGATATCTTTTTGCTCAAAAGAAGGTATCTTTGTTTCCTATAACAACGTCTAATACCTCAAAAAACTACTATAGGTTACTTGTCTTCTCAACAACTTGAACAGTGTGACTTTGTCGCATCAGAAGGTTCAACGGTTTCCTTATGGAGAGTTTTTGGAATGGATTAAAACAGCAGATTTCTCCACCATTCCCCGTCAATCAAATCAGGCAATTACACTTGATTTTTTATCATACATATCCACGCTTCCCTCTTTGACTAAGGCGAACATTACCGTTTCTGTTTCAAATAGGCAACATAACGCCAAACAACTTTCTTGAGGTCTCTTTTTTAGTTTGCTGTTCCGCCAACTCCGTAGCTGAGGATACTAGAATATGCGTTACTAAGCACTCAGGCAGCTAAAAAGAACAATATTTTTGCCTTTCATTAAATGGCCTTGTATGAATCCAGTTATTCAGATGGACGGGCGATAATCCTGCTCGTTATTGGCTGTGATCATGACGGACCATTGTTTAATCACTTGCCATATAGTACTGGGGAGAATAGTACCATGATATCAGAGAACAGAATGCTTTAATTGGCAATTCGAGGCTGTGTAAAGTTGACCGGAGTTCTGACTTATTAATGCTGCAGTGTGGTGGTTTTAAATGCTGACAGATTGGCATTACGAGTGCAACTCGATTGTTTCCGAGGAATATATTTTTAAGTGCGTCAGCTCGAAATACATACCGCCTCGACTGTAATGTAGGTATGCAACAAACCACTTAAGTGGGTATTTTTTGGTAAATACGATTTTCCAAAGAGATCAAAAAACTCGCATCCAAAACCGGCTGCCTGGTGTGGCTAAAATAGAAATAATACTGCATGAAACTCAGTGTTGCGAAAGCTAAGTAATATTTTATAAAACAAATCAAATCTCAAAATTTCGTTGCATGTTTCATGAGATATGCCACCTAATATATTTGTAAAGGAGGCTACCGACAGACAGAGGAGATCGGCATGATCATTTCTGGATTTTTGGACATCACGAGCCAGTCATATTCAACCGCAGGTTTCGCAAACCCTGAGACTCGAACCCATATCATGCTGGTTAGGAGTCCACTGTTTCAACCGTTGAGCCATAGGCTCGTTGTCATGTTAGTTGCGATCGGGCAAGTGACTTTCTTAATAAGGCGTTCGCTGACCGAATTACGAGACACACTTGTTCCTTTTTGTCTGCAGGGTTCAATTTAAAGCTACACAGACAGCCGCACAACAATAATCACAAATAAAGGGGAAACTGTCGTGACCACTCTCAGTTTATTAGCTGTTGTCAGCCAGGCTTATCCAAACCCAGGCTTATAGCACCTGAGCTTCAATTCAGCCTTCTTTGTTTACTGTGTGTCGTAACATTCAACACTGTAACAACTGAGCCACGGGCTCGTTTTCCTGCCGACCTGGTCGGAAATATTAGTTAAGTTGGAAGTGTATCTAGTTCTCGGGTTACATGACATGCTTGTGTTGTTGTGCGTTGGGACTTGACCTTGGCAATCGCATGCCTATATACTACCAGTCGCTGTGCAATTAAACTGACTGGTTGCAGACTTCAACAAATCGGTTTGCCAGCTAGCTGCATCCCGCAGCCAACTTTGCATCATACTCGCACCCAAAAGGAAGGCTGTTGCTGTTTTTGACCGCCAGTCTTTTCATAGGGT